TTGGAAGAACATGCTGCAATTTAAAACTGAAAATCACTGCTCTAAAAACAATGTGGCAAACACTAAGGCTGCAAACCTCCTTTCCGCACACCACCAGTGAATGAGCCTACACTGTGAGAGATTAGGAATCCAAGAATGAGAAAACTTAAAGCCTGCAGTGTTAATCAAGCCTACTCTGAAAGGCAGGTCCTGATGTCTTCAGGTATTAAGTATTGTAAAACATCTCACAGGTTTAAAGCATCACTCACATTAACTGCCATTCCAGCTGAAACTGTGAAAATGCAGTATTTTCATGGCCCATCTGTACTACAGATATTATAGTAGGAAGTAGCTTTTAGTAAATTTTCTCTGCTACCTTTCTCCTCTCTCTGCTCCCTAGTCCCAGAACAACTGCAGAAACAAAATGGTGCAAAGCCTTAGTAGTTGAGCAATTCCTTTCATGACTAAGCAAAATTCTTGGAAAATGAAGAGTCCTGGTTTCAAGCCAAAAGAATAGTTCTCAAATAAATCTGTTACAACGAGATTGCACTTCTCCCTCGCCAACTTCAGGCACTCTCAGACATGTAACAACTGTAAACCAGTAGTATGTGGAGCCAGCAAGAACAGAGGGAATGACATTCAAGACCCAGAAAACAAGCAAAGCTTTTTCAGGAAGGCAGTTGTCTCGACTACCGAGGTGGCACAGCATCGCCCCAAAGCTCTGCCCACTTCATGGCAGATATCCTCCAGCCTAGCCAGGCTTTCAGCTTTGCTACTTTTGAAGTTCCCAGACACCACTAAATGCTGTAGCCATGCTGATCAAAATCCTACTTCTGAACTGTTGCCTTACTCTATTAAATACCTTGAGACAAATATGCTTTTATTTCACATTTGATTCTTGTGCAAAATAATCCCACAGGGCATTGCTTTAAATGCAGCCAAAACAGCTTTTCTGAAGTGAAGCTCAATCCATAAAACTAACTTTCCAAAAGCAATAAATTACCATCACATCAGGACATCAACTGCTTCCCAGACTTCCTCCTGTTAGTTTAGGATCGAGGTGCTGTACGAACACACTGCACAGTTCTGTGCCAATAGCTGCAGAAGGAAACAATTCTGCACGGTTAATGTTGAGGTTTCCTGAGCTTTGACTCATCCTCCCCTCATTTTGATCCTCCCCCCACCCCAAAATGCACCAAAACACAGCCATCATCCCATAAGTGGGATGTATTTATACAAATCTTTGAAGTTATGTCAAATGGGAAGATAATTACAGAAAAAAAAAAATACAACCAGCAAATAAAATGTTTCACTGAAGATAAGAAAAACATTTCTTTCTAATTATCTTTAACATTTGATTAGTATACAAAAGCCAAGTTCTTCAGTACTGTTGAGCAGGACTATGTGCTTCATTAGATCCAGAATAAGGAAGACTCTGGGAAACCATGTTGGAAAGCCATTTGAAAAGACACTTCTGCCTTTTGGGTACAACAAAATCCTGCATCATCAGTTCTCATTTCAGTTTTAGTGTTGGCTGGAAACTAGCATTCTGTCAGAGAACATCTTTCTTAGCAGTAGCTAGAGGGAAGAAACAGAACTGGGTCTTCCTGACAGTCATAAACTAAATACTTATTCTTGCAACTCTACAGTTAACTCTATTAGTGCAAATCTCAGCTTTAAGAACTCCCAATACCAATTCTAGAAATGCATTTTATAATGGCTCTGCCCTCTAATTCATGCTCTGCTACAGAATAAAAAAAAAATAAAAATACCATAATTAAAAAAATAATAACCATGTAATTTATATGACAGCTCAGTCACAATGAGCTGATGAAACAGGTATGGTGTTCCCCTTCACTCACAAATATAGCAGAGCAGTGTACTCTGCCACACAAGAAAGTCAGGAATCAGGGAAGTGAACATCCAAAAACTACTTACTCTTTTAAAAACTGAAACCTCTGAACACCATATCAGAAATAAATCAAAGGAAACTGAAATGCATATATTCTTTTAAAAGGCCGCTGCAGTAGCTAAAAGGAAAATTCTAAATAATTTTCTTCAAGCAGAAAAACAAAAGCAAAACTAGTATGTGGATGTGAAAGGAAGGAATGATAAGGGTCTATTCCAGACTTTTCTATCTCTTTAAATGTCTTTGTCTCCTCATTTCTTACATGCTGCAAAAAAGAAGCTGTTGTGCAAGGCCTGCATTGAATTAACATTTATTCCATGAATACAGGAGATGTGGGGGAAAAGCTATTACAGAAAAAAAAAAAAGGCACATTCAAACACATTTTGCTATTATTACCTCACTGAAAATCTATCTTCTTTTCGGGCTTGTCACACTCTTATTCCTATCAGCTCATAGTAAGAGTGCCAGAGTAATCCTTCGGGAAAAAAAATGAAGCAACAAATATATATTGGAATTACTCATTGCACAGTGATATTAAAGAAGATCAAATTTGTATTATACTGAATGCTCTGAACATTTTTTAGGAGTATTAGAGTCAGAATACTTCATGAAAATGAAATAAAAACAAGCTATATTCAGCCTCCCTTTGGCTAAAAATATCAAGAAATCTGTTGCCCACATACTGCTCTCCCACCCCTTACACACACAAGTCTTTTCAAGTAACGAAACATTGAAAAATAGAGCTAGATGAAAGCAAAACAAATGAAATGTCTCGTGTTGCAGAGCACCTTTATGTCCTTGTACTCCTGAGGTTTCTCATACACTGCTGGAATAAAATGTCACTGCTTTCCTCTTCTACATGCCCAAACTTTGTTAGGAGATACAAGAGTCTGTAAGTGCTTTTAAAAGTAATGAAAATTAAAAATAATTTCTGACAGTGAAAATGCTGGTTAGCCTGTGTGAGGTCATGTGCTCACATGCTAACAGTACCTCAAACTGTAGAACTAACTCACATGAACTGTTAGAACAAACTTTCTGGAATCTGTTGGTTCCTAAGAAATCAATGAGGACACTTCTGTATATGTTGCTATCCCACCTGCAAGGTAGTTTTTGTCCTTCGAAAGTGCTTCATCGAAAGAAAAAAAGAGAGAATTTTAGCAATGTGATCATGGTAAACACATTTTTCCCTTCCAACAAATGTGCAGTTCAGTAAACATATTTCATGTCACTATATGACAGAGTAAATCAGTAGTAGGAAACGAAGAAATTTCATGCTAAGTAAAGTCTTCATACATATGTTGAGGAAATAAATACACATTAAAATAATCAAATGTGACTGAGAACTGAAAAATACATCATTAAAATACAAGTTATGCAAAACAAAACTCTGCAAAAGAACTCCCCTGTGTGTTACAGTGTTGTATTTTTATGTTTTTTCCCATGAAAATTCCTCATAACAGTAAACTGTGTGTAACTGTTCCAGTGGTAAATATATTATTCTGTTCTGGCCTAAGAGACCACAGGCAAATACTCAGGAAAAGGTGATTTTAAAAGGCTGCTTTCATTGTGAACGCCTGAAGATTTTCTCCTCTGTAAAGTTTACCTAAGCACAGACTACATATAGAGAGATGCTGACTAAGGCAGAGGTGCTGCATGTCTGGAAACAAATTCAGGAGCTATCAACCTCCAAATAATAGCCTGAACTGGAAGGAATGTTGACTATGTAAAGAGAAATTAAAAGAAAGCAAAGAATTTCCTGTGTAAAGCCATCTCTTTTCAAGACAGTCCCCTTTACCACGTTATTGAAGTTACCACATATTTTGATGCATTGCTTCAGCCTAACTTTAATATGGTTGTAACCCACTCCTCAAAATGGCAGAGAAACAAGCAGATGTGCTTATTTTGGGTAACAGAATAACATTTGAACTTCTTTCCCAGTCCTTTCAGCTCCAAATAAAAATTATATTTAGGAAATGTGATGTAAAGTTTCTTCAAACATTAGCAGGTGAAAAGTGAACTGCTGTTTAGATCACCAAAAGCCTCTACACAACAAAAAGGAAGGTTGGTACAGAAAACAAGAAGCATCCATCCTGCTGGGGTCGTTCTGAAAGTGTAATGCACTTTCTGTAATGTACACAGGCACCAACTCACATGAGAAATCATTTCAGTAGTAACAGAGTAAATAATCGAAACACTGACACTCAGAGAAACCTCCAATCTAAATTTATCTACAATTGCTTTAAAAATATGCATCAATAAATATAATTCTTGTAAGAACAATGGCAACACACAAAGAAACTACCTAATGCAGTCAAGTAAAAGCTGTTACATTAATTTAAAATTATGCTTTATTTTTCACAAGTTTTTCCAACACATTGTGCATTTTGGCACAGTTGACTTTGAGATAGTTCACTTCAAGTTTCCTTAAATTACAAACAGTAGACACAGTAGGAATATTTTAAACAGATTTCTTTAAAATAAACGGTAAGTTAAGACCCTTTATAAGAGAGACTGACACAATTTCATTTTCCTGATACAAAATTCAAGTAATTTTAAGTAAGAGTAGAAAATTGTCTTTATAAAACATCCTATTATTAAAATTTACAAGAATTCTGAAAATAAACATCAAATTTCCAATATCAGTTGGGTGCAGTTACACATTTAGAAAAATAACTCATTTTAAATGAAGGTCACTTGGTGAAGAAAAACAAATTTTCAACAGGATGTGTTTTTAAGACAAATTATAAACCACTTTTTCTTAGCTAAATTATTTAATCCTTGCTCCATCTCTGCAATTTTTTTTTTTCTTCTGAAGGTGTACATTTCAGTATTGAAAATGAATTAAGAAACAGGCTACTGAGATGTCTTCCCTTCAGTGTACACCAGCATATGGAATTACTGCCTATCACCAACAACTGTATACAAGATTCACTTGATCTTGTTTTTATGCTGTGGTATTTAATCTATTGGTACCAAACATACACACCACAAACACTTCAGTTGTGTCACTTTGCTAATTGAAAACCACAATACATTTTTCAGATCATTTTTTATCTAGGCTTGCTTGGGTTTTTTCAACACAGAAATTGATTCATTGTAAAATGATTTTCCATTTCCCCTCTTTATCTACTCTTTGAGACAGCAAAATGGAAACATAAGCAGGACATAATTACTTTGTGACTCAAGGCTCAGAGCAGATATTGAGAAATGTTCAACAACTTTAGAACATTTTCCTTTTTTCATTCTTCTAGCCCAAAGTAACTTTGCTGTCTAGGGAACAGTGACTTAAAAGTTTCTTTTATCACCATCTTCCAGAAGAAATCTATAAATAAATGTTTATGTAAAGAACCAAACACTGCTGAAGAGGGCAAAAAAATAATTAAGGATCAATAAATGATACTGCAATGTATCTTGTGCCATTCAGGATAGGAAGTCCTTCATGTAAATGAGTAAGTCTTCCTGGGTGCATGAAACTCCATCCTTTCCTGGGAGACTCAATGGAGCAGTTATACCTAAGAAATTTGCATCCACCTCCCTGCAGCAAAAACACAAAACAAAACCCCAGACATTTACCTTCTGTTTAATTAAGTCCCTTTTTTTTAAATTTATCCACAACTTAAAGTATTTTTCTATTATTAATAGGCTGTTACAAGTAATACATTTTTTTTAGTATCTCTACTTACAAGATTGTTTAAGTCACACTGTCCTCAGAGTAAACATGCATTTGCAATCAAAGATTCCCCCTTCTTTTGCTTTATCATTCCCTAGATAACAACTCCTTCACAGAATCACAGAATCACTTAGGTTGGAAAAGACCTTCAAGATCACTGAGTCCAACCATTCATGTGGCAACTCTGACAAATAGATCTTCAGTAACTTTACTATAGACGATACTAGGGAGAAGCAAAACATGTCCATAGGTCCTGTTGCATGACTGCTTCCCTATCCAGGACAGCATTTAAACAAATCTTAAAAAAATTAATCTGGCTGTCTTTTTCAAACTGAAGGCATGTTTTCTAAAGCGGTAAGTTTGAGAAACACAGTTACAGGTGTTAAGTAGGACTGTGAATACTATAGGTTTATAAACAAAACAGGCTGTACCTCTGCTAGTCAAAGCTGGATATTACTGCGACTGCTCTGCCTATCTCTGTATTCCAGGAACTGTTTTCTTTCAATAAATATTAGAGTAGAAAATAATTTGTTTCAGAGAAAACAGACAAACAGAAAACAAACAAAACCAAACAAAACCAGAACAACAGTTGAAAATTTTCATTCTGTGGCTGATCAAAGAAAGAATTATTTTAAAAGCTGTAAAGAAAAGAAGCCATGTGAGTCAACTTGAGACTATGAGCCTATTTAAAGTATTTTGAAAAACTGATTTTCACTGTACAGAAATGGAGCATTTCAGAAATGTTAAAAATGAAATGGCTAACATCTACAAAGTTTTTCTTTAAACTCCTCTTCCACCACCATCAGAAGCCATGTTGCCCAATTCAGCCTGACTGCATCAACAGTTCTGGATCCTGCAACTGAGGAAATTTAGTTCTTGTCAAGAAACATCAAGGAATAGCATACCTCAATTTGTACTGCACACCTATTTTCCTTTTCAACATGGTCTTTAAATATATCCACTTGGGCTCTAGTTTGAAAATCATATTAGACCCTCCAAGGACAATTTTTAAGTTGGTAAGTTGTCAACTTACCTGAAAGTCCTCTCCTACTTTGTTGAGAGCGATGTTGATTGTGAATGTAGAGGAGTCATGATGAGGTCTGAGTGACCTTTGTCTGTCAGGACTGTATTTTACAACAAAATTCAATAAAGCATACCCCTGAAACAAAATGCACAGTCAGACTTCAACATGTAAACTTCCAAAGGCCACACAGGTTCTTGGTTTGTTTTTTGTCTGTTGAAGTTGAGTGATTAACAACATTCATCTATAACTACTGCTATACCACATATAAACTCCAGAACCAAACAGAGTGGATACAATAAAATGCTTAGAATGTCTCATGCCATCCCGTAATTATCTACAAACATTTCAAACACATACCTTGGTATAATAGCCAGCAAACACTTTTAGAGTTACTGGTGCAATGAACTCCCTTATGAAATGCAGCCATTCATTATCGAACCCAATTTGCTTCATATGAATATCGTCAGTTGGGACGTTTTCATAACCTCCAGAAATGCGGCTGTCCTAATGGAAACACCATCAATAGCATTGAAATATGGACATGGAATGCATCTGGCACTTCTGCAAATATTTATTTGAAATCTGCAGAAACACAGAACTGCAACAAAGCAATGCTTTAGTGGGCAATATGTGAGCTTGCTGTACAGTATAATTTCAACCCTAACTGCTTTGGGGAAAAAAACTGCTGAACTATTGATGAGCAAAAACTGGAAATTTTTAAAAGGTGAATCAATATTTGAGTGTGCTGACAGTAAATAAAGGCTTCCTGGAGTAATGGTTTTATTTATCACGATGTAGATGCAACTGAGGTTGTATCAGATCAAGACAGTACAGGCCTCAACTTGGTATGGTAATAAATACTGAAATAATTTGAAAATAAAATTATGTTAAAACCCTTTTGAAGGCTCCTCCTTGCAGTAAAATAGTTAATGTAATTTATCTCCTTTCTAAGGTAACAACATTTGTGAATATCCCAAATATTCTTCCAGTTTTAGTAGCAGCTAATTAATATATTGAACTATCTGCAAACACAAACATAATAGCTCATAACATTTCTGGGGGACAAATCTGAAAAATTAGTACTGAAGAGGTAAATGAGTAAAACTTTTCTGAACACTTATTAACAGCTATCCAAGATCAACCTTGGATGATTGCTGAGTAACTACTACAGCCACAGCACCACTCTTAGTGTCTGAATTTGCTAGTTCACGGTTCATTGAGGAATGTCTCTATACCTACTGAACAACAAGCTACGTGATAGACTAAACTAAGCATTTTGTACTACAAAGCAGATGTTTTGGGTCATTAGCAATTGCTGGAATGTTTGTTTGTTGCAGTACATTGTGACTTGCTACCATAAAGCTACTTGTTAATGTTTATATAGGCTGACACTTACTTGGTGTTTTCCACCAGACCATTGACCAAAATGTTCCATTTCTTCCACCAATTCATCACAGGCAGTATCAGAAAATATAGGAAACCAAAACACATCTGGACATGGCTACAAAAGAAAAAAACCCCAAAACCTACATTAAATTGTTTTAGACAGAAAACCACTTTATCCCAGGTTCTTAAGGAAGCAAAGATTAAATCACCGCCCCTTAATTGTCACAGAACTGATCATCCAACACTTATACAACACTTATTATCATCTTAGAAGTGCTCTGTGCAGATCAGTTGCATGAAAGTAAACAGACAGACCAAAGAAAGACCTCTTTGTATCCAATAAAAGGCTTCACTTTGGATTCATGGTTGTCAGAACACGGGAAAAGGACAGTGTCTGGGACAGCCTGCCTTTACTAGATACCAGAAAACACAGCAAAATCTGCTGCAGAAATTTTATTACATCTTCTGCTAGTGGTACTGGCTAGTTCAAACAAATAAGGTACATACAGCTGTATTTTGGAGAAGGCAATTACTTTGACAACTACATTATTCTGAGCAATAACAATTGTTAGTTTGACTCTCAGCCAGTTTTCAAAAGGGCAAAAATTAATCTCTAATCCAAAACACCAAAAAGTTGCTCAGCCACAGACCAAAACAGCACGTGCATGGTACTAGTTACTGTATGCCAACTTATTACCAGTCAGTCCCACAAATTTTAAGAAAACCACTTATACCCACCTGTTCTACTATATTATCAGTGAAGATCTTTGAGTAGTTGGGATTTATATAGGTTTCTTTCCAGTCCTAAAAAAAAAGAATTAAAACATTAAACCAGAACAGATTAATTTATAAGGGAGAAAAAACAATTTATATTCTATTTCCTTGCTCTACTGAAAACACTGGAAAAAAGAAAAAGTTTCTTATAAACAAACCCTGTTTCTTACAAACAAACATGATGGTTCTCATGTTGAATAATATCAGGGCCATATCTTCAACTGCTTACTCTGGTCATCACTTTGCTTGTTGATATCATATATCGTTACTTGCTTAAATGGGCAGTACAGAACACCTTTTAGTACAAAATTAATATTTAGTGCATGATAAACAAATGGTCTCCATGTAAAGTCTATATCCCAAGTCCTTTATAATACATAAACTTTAAAATATTTTCAAATAACTTTTTCATCAATAATTAGAGGCATACCACAGGATTCTCAAATATCTGCCAGAGGTCATTGTTGTAGTGGGAGGTATTGTAGTTGGCTGTAGAGAGAAGTCTTCCAAATTCATGTCTGTTGGTGATGTACATGAAAACTCCCTATTCCAAGCAGAGAAAAATGTCATTAACAAAACTGTCCATCTTAACAAAAGTGATGTTGTTTAAAAGTCTGTTTGTTTATGCCTGCATTTTGATAAAATATATTACAAACTTGTACATACATACATATACTGTCCATTCAGCATCTTTACTTCTTTAGTTGTTAATTCTAATCACCAACTAGTGTTGGTAATTTCTTCTTTACAAGCATTTGGTCGAATTTATTTTCTGAACATGTTAAACCAAAACATTTATTGTTCAGAATGCAAACCTACATACAGTTATAGAGAAGAAAAAATAGAAGTGATTGATTTGATTTCCAGAAGACCTAAGCAGACACAGTGAAAGCAAAATGAAAACACTCATACAAGAAAACCAGCATCTAGGGCTTAGTTTCTAATTTAAAAACTGAAAGAATAAACTAAAAATAAAAAGCCTAATAGAAGTCAGAACAAGAAACTTCTTTCAGTGTATTCACTACAGGATCCTCTGGTGATTGGCCTGAAATAAAAAGATTTAGGCAAATACAGCACAAAAGAATATTCAGATCAGGGTACAAAACAGCTGAGCACTGTGAAGTAAGTTCACCTAAGCAAACATTGAAAAATATGTACAAGGTATCAAGTGTGGTAAGATTCAGCTTCATTATCAAGATATTAATAAAACTGTCTTGATTAGAAATAGTAGCAGAAAATAGTTCTTTGAAAGAAATTTAGGTTTTGTGGGGTTTTTTTTTTCTTAGTTCACTGTTTTTCAGACTAAAACCTACTTTTATAAGTATTTATGGCTTCTAGATTTGCAGCAAATGAAGACATTCTTATTTAGGTACTTCGGTATTTCTCTCTGTTTCTGTCTGAAAAACAGTTAAACTGTTAGAGAGATAATAATTATGTTAAAGATGTGCCCAGTTTGGGGCACTTACTGAATCATAAAATAGCTGCAGCAGGGAGTATAAGGAGGGTCTGGGTCATAGAAAAACAGCTTAAAATGACACTGATTTCACAAATGCCCCGTGTGGTCACCAAGGAGGCCTGGCTGACCTGCTAGTGATTTGAGCTTTAGTCCTTCCTAGGGCTGCTGAAACTATTTTAGCTACAGAAGCTCAGCTTCAGCACACCTTGACCTGAGAAGTACTGAGAAACCTCCCTGAGAAAACAACAAGCCTCTCTATCATGTCTTGAACTGGTTTGAAGAACCTGTCCCTGGCAAAAACTTGGACCTTAGAAGACTGAAGAGAAAGCTAGAGCAGTATCTCATCAGAGTAAGTGGACAGAGGAGAAGCATCTTCTTGCGGTAGAATAATACTGCAGGTAATAATAACTCATGAATAAAAAGAAATAATAAAGCAACACCTTTGGGGGTCTGAGCATATGGAATGTTTCCGGAGAAGGGGAGTCTTTTTCCCTTTGTAAAGTCTAAAATGAAGGAGAATCATCACATCAGTTTTCTGATACATCATCTCTTTCTCTTTTTCTGAGTACTATCAGGTTTCCACAGTTACATTCGGGAAATAGCAGCCTTTGACCAAAAGCTGATACGCCTTGACAGACAACATGCATCTCCAAGCAAAGCTCAAAATACACATGTCAAAGCTGTTTCTACCAGCCCCTTCTTATCTGCTGCAATACAAAAAACAAGCACGGACCAGACCACCTTACAGCACAGACTGAGGAAGAGGAACAGAGAAAGCAATTTTCTGATGAGCCAGTCAGATTAGTTTAATGAGCACACGGGAAGCATAGGTTTGCAATAACTGATGCTGAGGAGGTTTGAATACAACAGAATTGGACAGGGATGTTCTGAAGAATCAGTACAAACAAAGGAGATCATGCCTTGTTACGAGGGAATAAAAAAAATTAATACTTGCCAACTTTTCTTGTTCAATTCAGCAAATTTATTTTTCAATGTTATAGTGTCTGGAAATAGGTCTGGCTTAGGTCTTATTTGTTTCTGTGCTGAAACTAGTGTAAATATCAGCAGAAATGTGGATGTATATATTAATATTTTTACAGTACAGATATATTTTCTCTCATTACTCACAACTTAATGCAAGTAAAAAATTCTGTTACAGATTTAATCTGTCTAGAAAAATAAATGAGTAATTCATGCTCCTTAAGATTCATACAATTTAATAAATCACTTACAAGAACACTGCCAGTCATTAGTTAAAATATGTATATACTCCAATATAAGATAGCAGAATATTCCAACTTAGTCTATTAAAAGTTTCACATTGTATAAAAATGTGTATAGCAGAGATGCTCTAAATGTATTTATAAGTTTGAAGTCATATACAGCAGCAAAGTTCAGCCCTCTTTCATCCTGTTGAGGTTGAGCCAACAAGGAAGGGATTTTAACCTCAAGAGGACTTTTCAGTGCATTTAAATAAAAACATCATGCAGACCAGTGCACCACAGCCTTTCTAAAACCTCTGCTCTCAACAATTTAAATATATACACCTAAAATGTTCTATGGCATAAAAATTGGCTAGTACTTTCAAGTAGAAGTAAAAATATCTCCAAGATCCAATCAGCAGTCAAGTGTAGCAAGACACAAAGAAGTCTGTGTGTATACTTAAAGGCAAGCTGTTGTAGATACCCCTTACCATTTCCCTGGCAGTCCTGCAAAGTGCCATATCAGGATCCAACTTATCACGCATAAAGTAGTTCTTTTCTTTCATCTCCGCTCTGAGAGTTTGTCCCTTAATTAAGTAGACATTAGCCATGTAAGGAATATTCCATACTCCTCTGTTTAAAAAAAAATAAGAATAATATGCAAAAAGTTTAAAGCCCCAAAAATCGATTTGTTGCCTATTCTATCAAATCAGCATTTCAGTATTTGCTGACATGACTAAGCAAGTTTCAAGGAAATGAAGCTGAAAGGTTCCCAAGACATTTGGAAAACTAAAGCTGGACATCACAGACATCTCAAATGCAGGCATAGGCAGTAATTCAACTTTTATGAAGCATTGTTATAAAAAATAAAAAGGTCAAATTCTCTAAAGAGTTTTAACTACAAATGTACTTCATGTTTCCACAGTTAAGTCAATCAGTAAAACTCTTATAATATTATTCTGCACTACCAGATGGAGAAAGTAATTCTAAACCAGATTTTTAAGTGAGTTTAAAGACTTCACTGAAGCTTCACACAGCTGTTCTGACCTCCTCGCACAAACACCCACAGTCCACAGGATGCCATGAACTTACATCAGTATCAACAAAAAAGCACTGGTGTCACAATACTGCAGTGACACCTCCCAGCAGATTTCTTGCAGATTTCCTCCCTCCCAGCATCAAAAGCACTTGTTTCAGTGCAAGTGAAAACAAGCCAGTCCTAGTCAAGCACTCAAACTGTTTAAGGCCTTTCAGTTCTTTCAGTGCAATGAAAAGGCATCAGCACATGGGAAAGTCAAGCTTAGAAATTTATATCACATTCATTTAGGGGAAGGACACACCCAAAAGGCTATGTGTGACAAAAGTATTTCTCAAGAGAGTTCTGACATAATATATAGGAAGAAAACATGAAGAGATTCTAGTTCTTCAGCTAATTACACATTTTCCGCAAGGAGGTGAAGAAGTAATCTGATGAATGCAACAACCATTTATTTTGACTGAGGTTCCTGGGATACAAAGTTTTGGGTTTTCTATTTGTTAGTCTTGCCATTTTCTCTGTATTATGCACTGCTAGTGTAATCAGATGCAATCAGACAAGTGACTATGTCCATTACTAACACCAGCTCATTGAGTTAAACACTCCACTTTTTCATTTAAGCTATGAATGGGAAAAAAACAAATGGAAAAATAAATGCATTCCTATGAAATAGAAAAAAAAGCTAAAAAATAAAACTAACCTAAGCTATTCAGGACTACTAGATTGCATGGAAATACAAGAATATACTGCTAACAACCATACTGGGTGCCTTGACTTCAAAAATTAGCTTACAATTACTTACACTCTGTTCCCTTGGACAATATCAACATAATCTTCAGATCGAGCATAATAGCCATCTGGGCTCAAAGCACCCCAGAAATTGGACCAAAGTTTCCCATGACGAGTTACAAGTGGAGCAATTATCTTTCTGTAAAGTGACATAATGAATAAGAAAACATTGACTGTTATACATCAAAATATATAAAATACAAGCTCTTCTCATTTTAGACTATAGTGTAGTTGAAACATTAGTGACTCAAATCTCAGATCAGCTATTCTGAACTTAAGCTGGAAGCAACAGCATCCAAGTACCCACTGCCCAGAAACATCATTAGTGTTACAGAAGCAAAGATTTATAGAAACTGGAGGAGGATTGATTTTCCAGTCAAGCAAAAAAATACTGCCCATACCATAAAGACAAAAAGCATCACAAAGTCAAAGAGATGAAAAAACGAAAACAAAACACCATCGCCACAGTGAGATTTTGCTCACCCAAAATTTAAGAGTCCAAAGGGGAACTCGAAGTCAATCAGAATAAAAATTATTAAATTAAATCATTAAATTACACAAAGGGTGCCTAGTGATATATCTATTTTGCAAAACCTTCTGTTTCTTTCACCTAGTTCATCTGGTTTTTAGCCTCTTTCTACAACACTAAATATTACAAAGAAAATTATGCACAGGACCAACAACCACATCTTTATTTAGTTCCATCCCTTCTGACTAGTAGATCAAAACAGACACTGATAATTGATCTTCCTGTAGTACACCTAGATTCCCAGATTTGTTATGAGGCAAACACCACCTACCTACCTAACATGGGAAGTTACAAATTGGCAGGAGTGAAGTGCACAGCATTCACAGCAAGCCCAGTCTGTTGAAAGCTGCTGCTGGTAAAGTCACAGCTCTGGATAACTTGAGATCATACTAAAAAAGGGAGACATTGAGCTGCTTTACCTCCAGTACCTTTCCACTATATTTTAGTGCCTCTATGATCTAAGAACTTAGTAATAATACTGCAATAATAAAGTAATAAACTCTAGGGAGTTTGTTTTGTTTTGGATTTTTTGTTGTTGTTGCTTGGAATTTTTTTTTTATAATTTTGTGACCAACTTTGAAACCATGAGTCAGTGACATCTTAATTCATTTCATAAAACCTGCCTACACCATACCATTCTCCATAGGGAAACTCTGAAGCATTTGAAATTCACATCAAGAATTGCTTCTTGACTGGAACAAAATCCTTTATGAATTATTTGCCTCAGAGTCTGCTGTGAACTTAGGCAATCACATACCACAGGTAAACCAAGTCAATATAACTCTGCAAGAACAGACAGAATCTTAATTTCCCTGGATGGGCCCCAGAGAATCCCTTCAAACAGGAGGAAATTCTGTAAAATCAAGAGATATACCACACCTGTTCTGTTCTATCAGTATTCTTAAAGTTTTGGGGTTTGTCAGCACGACATCCGCGTCTACGCTGAGATAATATTCACAGGCTGTATCCTGGCGACAAAGGTCCCTAAAAAGACCAAAAGGAATAGTTAACTTGCACATGTCCAGAAAAGGTTCACAAACACCACAACAAAAAAAACCAACAAACAAAACACAAAAAGCCCAGCCACAAAAAAGTTCTCTACTTATATATTGCATTAAAAGCTCTTTTCAATGTAGCACGGTAAAATAAACATGTCTTGCGAGTACAGTCATGTGATAAACTAAAAGAAGATTTGAAAATATGATCAGATGCCTTATATTTTTCTTTGAATAACCTAAGTGATCTCTAACCTTTACCAAGTTCAGTAAAGCTACCATGTGCTGCCCTAATGGAAAACGGGGAGGGAGGCAGGAATTCAAGCCACTAATTCATATATCTGGATATAAATACAGTCACTTAATAGTGAAGGATAAGCTCATTGAGTAAACTTCTCTAGTAAGTAACTGCATGTGGTTGTAACACTGTCTTTGGGTAAAGATGCTACAGATGTGAGAAACTCACTGCTGAGTGAAAAAGAGAAAAAAAAGAGGTAAGGGAAAAACTTACCCAACCATATTACATAATCAAAAGTATTCTGCTGAAAAAACACAACCCAGACATTCAGTGCCTAAGTTTTATCTTTTTTAAAATTATTATTATTTTATTCTATTACTAGACAGTGAACTGTAGTAATTGACGCTGGTTTTGACACTTCAGATAAATAGACTTTTTTTGCGAAATGTGAAAGTGAGGACACCAAATTAGTTCTAAATCTACCAGAAATTAATGGAGAGATACTAAAATCAGCTAATTTGGAAAAAGAGAGAAGAAAAGCGTTTGAGGCAGATGGAACAAAACTATCAGCAATAATGCAGAGAGAGACAGGAGAAAAATACTGAGAAGACCAAATATATCATTCTATGTAAATCAAGCAATTAAACAGGTTTCAAGAATCACCCTTTTCAAGTTACTGACATTGCAGTATTAGTGAGAAATTAATGAAATCATTATGTTGGAAGCCAACTGAAGGGTTGAAGGTAAATATATTTTTTTTTGTATCTGCCTTTGCCATGAACATCCCGTATTTCAGAGCTAGATTTTTTGAGGAAAAGTAAAAATGCAGTTTTTCTAGAGAAGCTGGTGATATTCACAAGGCCTGCCAAGCAGACCAGTCAAATTTAAAGGAGCTGTCAAATTATATCTACCTGGTTCACATGAGAGATCCCACTAATGACACTAATTCTTTCTGGATTATTCAGTATTTTGGCATGGTCTCATTGCACGTGCATTATATTTCAAACTTTCTATTTTTTATCCACCAATCAAGAAAAGACCATCTATCACATTAAAACCTCTGTAACACTAGAAGTCAATATGAGATCTTTAGGTGAGATTTAGTAACAGTATAGAAATTGTTTATACTAAAGATTCTGCCTTGTGGTGTCTATGTAACAACAAAGAGGAAAAGGCAACTTGAGGAAGTCCACATCAGTTACATGTAACATATATTACTTCAGAAATTTGCAAATATAGTATGTTTGCTTTAAGGACTCCTGGAAAGAAAGAAGGAAAGATTTATAAACATGTGAACAGCTGCTTACACTACCCCTGGACATCTGTAGTGCTTCCTAGAAAGACCATGGGAGAGGCTTGGACCTCAGCCAAGTATCAGTTTCCAAGTGGCTTCAGCACAACAAAACCCCATTCAAAAGAATTTCCAAGAACACCACAGAGAGTCAGGACTAGTCCTTCATTCTTTCAGTTGATGCCACCAACAGTTTATGTTATGTTCTTAACTGCTGAATATAGAAGAAAAGGGTCTTTTGAAAATAATGTCTCTGCTCTGACACTCATAGAAGACTTTGGAGGAAAGAGACTGGAAGAAGTATGCCAGAATGAATCCTGCTCGAGGGCCACACAAAGTCTTGGTGGGATCCTGGTCTGTAAAACTCCATGATCTGACTGAGGGGCACACTGGGAGAGCCACCAGCATCTCTGTGGGAGTAGCCAGCGCTCCAGATACTAAGGAGACCCCTTGACAGGCAGGTCTGACAAGGGATACAAGGTTACTGCTACATGAAATTTTCTGCAAAACGTAAATAAAAAGTTTCTTGTACTGTACCATCTACTTTGTTTCAGTAGCACTCTCTTTAAATAAAGTATTTAAATTTTACAGTTTATGCTCATGTTAATATACACCCATGGTTGAGATAACTATAATATAAAAATATTCAGACACCTCTTATTTCTTTGTAGTCTACTATTGTGTGGACCTTCGTTAGAAAACAAGACTATCATGGCAGTCCAGACCAGAGAGATGACCAACAGCTTTTTACATTAGAAAGAAATCATAAAATACTCAACAGCTCCTATCTTATATCTAGATCTTGTTCTGCTACAATAGCTTTCACTTTTATATCTCAAGACATAAAGTTGTTAGTGTTTAAGATGCAAAATAATTACACATAAAAAGCTGTAAAAAAAATGTTAGTGCATGCATCATTATAGCAGATTTATAAATTAGAATTTACATTCCCATATTCCGGGCTTCTGCTTGACTCAAATTTTCTTCAGGTCCAACAATTTTTATATTTTTGATAATGTTCTTGGCCTTTTCCCAGAACTTCTTGATGTGCTTTTCATGGTAAACCTCCTGTAATCATGTTAACATTGTTTATAGTGAATGAAAAGTTCAAATTGCTGTGAAATCATAAAACATAGTGTCCAAAGAACAGATTGTATTCTATCCTAAGCAAACAGATGGCAAACAGTACTTGGAGATACTCCAGTATATGTCATTAAAATGAAGCTCTTCTGTCCAAACTTTTAGCAAAAGAATTGAACACATCAGCAATATAAAAATCAAAGCTGTACATTTGGACCAATGATACAAGAATCACAGCCTGTTTATGCAATATTTTTTCAGGATATTTATTTTACAATATTTATTTTAAAACCCACCCTACTGCCTCAGTGACACACAGGAGTTTTTCATGCCACTCCAAAATAGCTTTTGAGATGGAGCTGCCACCTATACCCAGGTGGATAGTCATGGCCATTGCTTCTTTAAAATGTAGTCACAATGACTGTCTATTTAATTTCTAATTACCTTATCTCTAATTTAAGAGATCTCAGCTGCATGCAATCCTTTGAGTGCCAGTGCCAACGCAGTGCACTCATTCTTAGATTTTGCATATTATGGTTGACATTAGAATAATTAAAATATTGCGTAGGATTTTCCCTTCCTATATGATAAAAAAACTATTCAGTCTTTTACATTCATTTCAAATACCATATGATTTCTGGCTGAAGCAACAAAACCTAGCATAGCCTACAATTTCTATGTGCATGTCATATTTATAACTTTAATATCACCTTACAGAAACAACACTGAAGACTTTAAAGAATAGTCTCTACTTGTATTACTCAAGCCTTCTGTTCTATATTGACACTAATGCACACCAAGTAAAAAAGGGCAGAACTATGTTTTCCTCTCACTTCATTTCAGCCTAGCTTTTTCCAAAAGACTTACACATCTGTCACCTTCTCATGAAAACAGCAATACTGCAGTCAGTGGTGAAGTATCAGCAACCCCAGAGCATTAGATAACTAGCAAGAAAAGCATTCCAAAATACTCAAAAAAGCAACTTATCTGTACTACCTTTCAAAACATACCTGGATAGACCCAGTCTTTCCCATGGCACCCAGATGAAGCACCACGAGAAACACAAGTGCACTGAGGTATCAAAAAGATGAAAAGCAAATCCAATTACAACTATAGGATAATAGTTATTACTAACATGCTACAACTTTTGGTCAGTCCTGAAGTGGACAGGCAGTTGGCCTAGGTGATTGTTGCAGGCCCCTCCAACTGGAACTATTATACTCTTATTGTACTCTATTGTTTTATGTCAATCAGTATTTCCCACAGGAGTACACACTTTAAAATAAAATATTTTTCATTAGCAAAAGAGAAAGAATATAAGTGATTTAAATAGACTTCAGTAAGCACTACCACAATTTCATTTGATTTGTTTATTTTTTCCACTTCTGCATAATAAATGCTGAAAGATTATCTTTTCCTATGCAGTTTAACTATGTATGTATATAGAATCTATATACTCCCTCCCAAACTTTCATTCATACCATCATTTCCACAATTGAAGCTTTGGACAATGGTAACATCATACTTACGTTATTGTGAATGAAGATACTAAGTGCCTCCTTTGGATAGTCCAGAGTCAACAGTCTGTCTAAAAATTTAGGTAGGAAAGGAGTGGGTTGTTCAATGAAAACACCAATTTTTACTCTTGGATATTCCTAAAAGAAATGATATTTTAACATAACCAATAAGACTTGCCTCCTTTCTAAGATTAGTTATATTAAAAAGCAAATACTGTCATGTTGTAGTACCTTAGGCCACACAGCTTTCAAACAAACAAAGCCAAACTAGCTCAAAAGGGCTATGCCCTCTCCTTTCACTCATTTCACTAAATAAGCAAAGATAATGGATTTGACATTGCTACAAAACTCCTTGAATTCCAATAAAAGAAACTGGAAGCAATACATAATGTGTTTGGGTTTTTTTTTAATTCTTACTTTAAAAAATATTAAAACAGTAAAAAAAGTACTTAAGGGAATACACCTGGAATTGCATGGCAAATACGTTTTTTGGAAGTAACATACATTTACTTCACGTGCTAGATGTAAAAGAAAATACAGAAAAGATCCATTTTTTTAAAAAGTAGTTGAAGAATAAATACCATTAAATGTTTCACTTATCTGTACTTTAAGCCAATGACTGCAATACCATTCCTTATGTACCATTGTAAGTGGGGTCTGCATTACTTCCCTACTCACTGATTTTATCAAGACTTTTGATGAACCAACTAGAGCTTCTTCCCTCACATCCAAGGATACTGGAGTTTTATCCACCTTATTCTAATGTGAATTCACATATTCTGCACATTGGTGTTGATTCCTTATTTGTTTGTCCTTGATACAGAAATCGTGACCACTAAAACAAATCTAGACAGCACTTTGGTGTATTCCTAAAATATATTATTACGTTATGCAAAACAAAGAAATTTGACCTTCAAAGGCCTTGACTCCTACACAAAGAAATGCACTGATTAAACAGATTTTTTTTCCACCTCTAAATCAGGCAGTTATTGTAAACGTCTGACGCACTACAAGGCTCAGAGAGAAACCTTATATGAGTATAAAAGGCTGCAAGTTAGCTTTCCTTAAAGAAGCCAACACCTACTTGAAAAGCGTCTGGATAAACCATCAGCACATACTGAGATTTTATAGTGTCACTGTCTACATCGGAAACCCAGAAACATACTGGCAAGTGCACCAGATCGGAAACATCAGGCACCAATGTTTATCCTGGCTACCTCCTATTCACAGCTTCATCTGCAAACCTCGTGCACTCATGCAGACTTCCTAATCACTTCAAAACAGCTGATGAAGACAAATTATGTGTCTTGAAAAAAGTAACTGTGACATTCTCTGGCAACCATTGGAGCCGGTGTCACATTAACTGGTACCGCTGACCATGAGCGATGAGGAAGGCAGTGTGTGCCTTCGGGTGTCCTGATGTGCACATGGGCTGCTAATACTAGGCCTGCTGCAATTATTTGTTTTGCATGTTTCTCTAATTCTATGCCTTTTCCCCCTATTCTCTGGGTCAAAGAGAAGCAGGTTCAGGCTGGAACTGCAAACGTTATAGGGACAATGAGGAACTACTAATACTCCTTCAGTAGGCTGAAGTGTGAACTGCCTGGCTCTAAACTAAACTCTCAGGGGTCTGACCAAAGCAAAATAGTGTTTAAAATATTGAGAGTAAAAATTGCTGCAAAGTGCATCTCCTCAAAGCAGACAGTTCTCTGCTACATCTCTCATCTCTGCTGCATCTACCACTGCATCCCCTCAAAGCAGAGCTCAGAGTTGCATACCCTCCACCTTCACAGAAGGAAGGGTATCCCTATGCCCATGATGGAAAGCAGTGTTATTTCAGCTCCTTGTTCTATAGGGGAGTTTATCTGCTTTGTACTGCTAAAGTAAAGGTCTACAGGTAAGCCCAGCTCAAAACATTGAATCTGCAACACCTAGGCTCATCCAGTCAAGGACCCACTCGTGCCAGAATTCATCTACAGGAACTCAAAGCCCAAAACATAGTTGGCATCAACACACCTGATTCTCTACTTCTTATGAGAAGAACATGCAAAATCCTCAGAAGATACAAATGCAGACAGTTAAATAAAACAATATGAGATGCATTATTAGAGAGACAGAGCTCGTATTGCTCTTTTCACTGAAGGTTTCTTGTTAGGTAGCAACCAGACAGGCCGGAACAGAAGGTATGTTCGTAGAATGAAATATTGCTTGTACTCAGAAATGCCTGAAGTAAACACTTCCACTAAGGCCAAGGAAAAGTCTCATTATTTCTCCTGGCAGAGTGAGTGAGGTATGAAGTCCAAATAATGAATTACAGTAAGGAAGACACATTCCAAGTAAACATACATAAACTAGAGGAAGCTATCCAGTAAACCACTGCAAATTACTCCCCATAACTGGCTTTAAGATTTATCTGCTGCCCAACCATGTTTTAATTAACAGCACCATTAGGAAAAAAACTTAAGACAACTTCTTTTCCTCAGGTAAATTTTATGTTGGGAGTGCAAACACTGTTTCAGTAGAGCACCATTCAAATGCTGCATCTTCAAAATGAAATTAAAATTAATTTGAAAGAATCTGAAAGTTATTACAATTCTAACAATAACTTTTACAATATATATTCCAGCTGCTTATTGTCCAGAAATTCTTCCACTTTGTCCTTTGATTACAAAGGTAGCAAGTCCCTGGTTCTTTCATGCTATCCTCAACATGACCTTCTAAAACAAGTTCTCATTCAAATCTTCAATACAGAACAGAAATTAAACAGCTGCTGGAAACGGCCAGTTAATAATAATAATCAGAATGTTCTTTTAAGTAAAAGTCTTACATTTCCACATAGCAGATCTTAGAATTTACTCTGCCTAAGATTTATAGAGTACAAGGTGAAATATTCTTAAAGACAGCAAAGACATCACACTTGGAGTCAAACAGCCAAAGTTCCCAAATACTGGATACAAACATCCATGCCACGTGCATGTGTATATTTGTCCTATAAGAATTCTGAAGATTGAACTGGTATCTGATTCTCAGTTACATTGGTATTGTTCTCCAGAAATATACAATACAGATGCCTGTAACATCTTTTATAAGGTAAAGCAGTTTTGACTATGTATCTCTCAGAAAATAGTAACTGGTAACTGTGTTACAGTTAACTAATCAACTCTTTTTAAACAGAAACTGTTAAACTGATGCATATCAAGTTTGGGTTTTTTTGTAGCTCTGTAGTTAAACACTTTGTTCTCAGTGAACAAAGGTAAGGATTTGGAGGGCTTTTGAGGATGGGATCATTTTCAGTAATATCAGGGAAATCTATATACATGCATAAAAACATTTCTAAAAGTATCATTATTTCCAGTGAATTAAAATTCCATGTTTACAGTTTCACATACTGGGAAAAAAATGTCCCAAGGTGTCTACAAAACATAATATCACATACTGAAGATACTTTGCCTCTGAAATCACTAGTCAACTATCAACTACATTCAAAAGGGTTTGTTCCAGTGAAAAGTGTTCTTACCGTTATTGTTGACAGGTCTAGTAAGTCTAAATCACAAATACTGCAACCAGTTTCCTGTGTCCAAGCATTAGGAATATAATTTCCCAAATAATTCAAGTGAATCTGGTAAATAAATAATTCAGATTAAGAAAAGGTGCATGTAAATGGAGATTTGTACATTTAAAGAATTCAAGTTGATTCAATCTCTTCTACCTAAAAGCAACTGACTTTTTGTAAATTTAAAATTTTCTTTTAAGATTAAAAAAAACAAACATACAAAAATAGCTGGTAAATGCTGCTTCTTATTATTTTTATTTACAAGACAGATTATATTATTCCAGCAACTACATTTATTGCTTCAGTTAAACCAAGTATTTGTCACAAGTGTAATGACTAACAACTAAATGCTTCTATGATTTCAGACACAGACTAGATCATTCCTTTTTTAAAAAGCTGCTAGGCATTATTTCAAGCCAAAAAAAATATTATATTTCATTCTTTTCCCAAACTTGAGAATCATCAACACTTTACATGAAACACAGAGTGACCATATGAAAACCACATAGAAATTAAATTGTAGAAGATAGGTGTCCAGACAATGTGTTTTGACAAGCTATGCCAAGACTTAGAAGCCAGCCAGAGGGATACATTTTAAAGCAGCATCTAGCTTCTTAACACATTTTGAATTGGCACTGAACAAAAGATGTACTTTTTCTGTCTATGGACTGCCTGGGCTGCCCTGCACTCCTGGATTCCATGCTAAGTTTGCACAGAACTTCACTCTTCTCTACTGCCATTTGCAAAAGTTAAGGGATCTCTTATGCTGAGGAAAATCTGCCTGAGAAAAGAAGGTTGCTATTCATTCCTG